CTGAGGTGAGGAGTTGATGATAAATCAATAGAAACAATACTTTCTCTCTATGTCAAAGACCAAGGGAACACTTTGAATTTGTCCAAACACACTTCGCCTGGTTTGTGTGTTCTGGTATCTGTGTGAATGCATAGCATTGTAACATGCTTACTATATGCCCTCAGTGGAGATACGCCAAATCCAATTCAGCTATTGACAAGGAGCACACATAATGCATGTCTCCCCAGAGCTTATGGGTATTCATAAGCAACGAATGGATGAGGCATGGGAGACATTTTTTATTCAATATGGAGGGGACATTCTCTGGAGCCTGACAGAGAAACAGCCCCATCTACAGGATTCAACTGGACTGAAATCCAATGGATAAACTCATACAGGGCAGGTTCTGTAACTTACTTTAAAATCCAGTGCATCTCATTGTCTCAGCAAAGTGTAATGAGCCCCCTGGGAGCATGTTCAGGTGAACTTCCTGTAAGAGGAAAGTACCTGTGTCTAGCAGAACAATGCTGTCCTTTTTTCTTTCTTTTTTTAAACAGAAAATACTGTATCTGCAGAATTTGGAGAGGATGCTGCAGCACTCTGCTAGAGAAATCAGGGTGTTCGCTTACACAGAGTGTTGACTGCGTGAACAGTTTCCTGGAAGTGGTCAGCATGTACTCAGCGCTTCTGAACACAAGGTGCTGGGGTCCCCGCAACTAGAAAGCACAAATGCACTCACTTGATATTCTCAGAGGAGAGCAAGCTCAGGATTGAAAATCACAAACACACACTTCCTGGGAGATTGGCCATGCTCTCTAACCCCTTCTCAAATATCACTGAGTCCAGATAGAGGGGAAAGACCTTTGCCGAACAAAGGGAAAGGTTTGATAAGGAAGAGCTCGCTGGTGACACTCTGCCTTTTCTCCTAACTTCAAAGAGAACGCCTGCCCCCGGTGGCCCGTCCGAATTGTCCCCCTCTCTTGACTTTTTGTCTTGTGCGAGAAAAAAACACAAAAAAATGGATGAACAGAGAAAGGGTAAATTTTGAAGTGGGTCGGTTTGGAGTGATGAAAGGGAGGAGAGTTGCAGAGCGGCGTGGGGGTGAAGAGGCAGGAAGAGGAATAGTAAGAGGGATGTACGAGGAAGAAACCGAGAGGGATTAAAGCAGAGTCACCTTGACAAGAGGGGCCACATTCCATATATGTGTAAGGTGCCTGAGGTGTCAACTAGCTGCATAAATGCTCACATTGTTACTCCCAACTATACAAAAAGCAGCAAAATACATAATAAAATGCACATTATATCTGGGTTTGTTTGCTCTAGCAGACTCCACGAGTGTCCGCCAACAGTGCTTGTGTGTGTGCATGTGTTTTCAAAAGAGCTGGCAGCCATGCAGAGGTATGAGACAGATGTGTGTGTCAGTCATTACTGTAATCGCTCCATTTACTCCATCTACCCTGGGAGGGACGGCTGGTCAGCACCATCTGGACACACATGCACATACAGTACGTGGCAATCGCCAGCCATCGTCGCCTTTCATGGGAGGGGAGCCAGCAACAGGAGGCAGGCTCCCAAATGATCATTACATTTTGTGTGTGCATGCATTTGCTGTCTTTGTCACTGTCTCCATTCCTCTCATTCCCTAGTGATATTTTTTCTGAATTTTTCCTTCCTGTCCCCCTCCTCCCCCCCGTCTCCATTCTCCTTTTTCAATCCATTTCTCTGCCTCCCTTGAGTCCAACTGCTTCAGTAAAACATGAATCTGTCTGGTTCCCCGGAGACTACAAGACAAAATGAAAAAAAGGCTGTGGTGAGTTGTAAAGTGCAGACTTGTTCGAGACTCCCTGTGCCTGAGGATGGTCGTCATGGTGTGTGTGTGTGTGTGCGTGTGCGTGTGTCTGTGTGTGTGTGTGGTTGAAAGATACAGAGACCTCAAGCTCATCTACATGTAATTTCCGTCCCCTGACTGAGGACAGGCAAAGCGTGATGAGGAGAGGAGGAGAAGAGAAGAGGAGGAGAGGAGGAGAGGAGAAGAGGAGGAGAGGAGGTGGTCAAGGGGAGAGAGAGAGTGAGCCAGGCTGAAGCTCCGGACTCAAGAGCGGCGGTCTGATCGTCAAGCAACATGTAGTCATGGCAACTGCAAATGGAGAGAGCGAGGAGGAGAGGTGAAGGAACAAGAGGAGGAGAGAAGAAACGAGGGAGATGCTTCAGGTTAAAACTACGTTGCTGGGAGAGTTTGGTGTTTGGCTTTCCTACATTGGAGCAGAATATTACATCCACTTACAGGTGATATTTCAGTTACAGTCAAGAGCCGGGAGTTTGAATATTGCCTGAGGATACATTTTACCTTCTGCCCTTTTACTCCTCCTGTTTACATTACTCAGCAATGACAGTGTTCAGAACTTCTCTTGAATATTTATCACCAATAGCCGGCCAAGTACATATCACTATTCTGTGGGTGCTCTTCTGCTCCTTCATCACTCTATTCTCCGTCTCATTTGTATTCTGTTAGCTTGCTGCCCCTACTTATTCTACAATACACTCTCTCTTTTCCCCCCATTGTCTCTCCATTGGCTCATCTCCTGCTCCCCTGTCCCCCCCCGTTGTCCTAAGATCTCTTTTTCTGGCCTCCATCCTCCCCTCCCTACAGAGCGCCGCTGACATTGGGCATGAGGTCAGAGAGATGGGCAGTCATGCTCCTGCTGACAGCAGGCTCAAATGGGCTTAGATACAGTGTGAGCGGAGACACCCAAGGGACGCCCTCACTAGCTTTAGGCTCTGGACAGGCGTGCATACACACACGCACACACACACACGCACACACACACACAAGCCCCATACGTTCAAACACAAACTTTTGTGGGCATACTATAGGCAGAAACACACATGCATACATTATGCTATACAAACATTACAGCCTTACATACCATAGAGGACATTAACTCAAGCTGCAGGACACACAAACACAATGATGTGTGTTAGGAGCATACACACACACACATGTGTTCACTTATACAAACAGAATGAGGCATGGAATTACAGATTTCAGAAAGGACAAATTCCCTTGGAGGACTGCCATGGATTATTGGCTAGTATACAGCCAGTGTTGTGAACAATGGAATTACTCACTGCTGATGAATGCTGAACACTTGTGTTGAAAATAAAGACCTAAACCTCCAAAGGTCATGCATATCGATTAAGCATTCGTCATATGAAGTGAAAAATCTTTCCATGAGTTGTATCTAATGTTTAAAGCAGATATTAAGCCAAAAGGGAGTGATTACAGGAAATTAGGTGAATGTATGAATAAGGAAATGAAATATTATCAAATGGGAAAATGGTTCAACTTCAATTAGAAACTGTAGAAATGATATAGAGGAGGGAAATGTACAGCTGTTCAATCATTACATTTACAAAGCCTTTTATTGAGGGGATGCACAATCCCTATGCATTGCTTAATCCCATGTAATAATAAAATATTATGTTACCATAAGGTTAGTAATACAAATGAAATGTCAGACATGTATTCTGCAGTTGGCTCATTTCAAATTCGGATTTGATTGCATTCATGTATTAAGGTTAAATTCAAGGGTTTGAAAGGGTAACCATTGCTGTGGTATTTTAAATAACACAGTTAGAGAAATGTCCCATTTTTCCATGTTTTATATAAATGGCATAACATGTGTAATAGGATGTCATGGCAAGGGTCACTTTGGATTATAGTATAAAGATGCCATAAGAAACATTGAACCACACTGCCCCCATGTGGCGATGATACACATTGCATATGCAAGTAGGATGGAGTTCACTGTTCACTAAATACCTCCTCTACCGTATTTGGATCAAATAACATATTTTTCAATTTTCAGGACCAGTTACCAGAAATCCAAATAAAAAAACTCCTACAATGTAAAAAATATGAATCAAACTGTTAAACACACCTTTTCACAAAGACTTGACCTTTATGCCAAATGTCAGGTGAAGTCCCGCCCATCTACTTCCGACCCATGGGACCTGATTGATTGATTGATTGATTGATTGAAAAGTTTATTAACAGCTTGTATATTGGGTACAGTACAGTACAGCTCAGAACATACAATTGTTAAGGGGATGCAGACCAGAGAAAGACTTTCGTCTTGTTTACATCAGGGTCCCCCATTTCCAATTCATCATGTCATTTAAGACATATAAGACATACAGGTGGCTTATTTACAATTTACATACAGGTGGTTTTTTACATACATACCTTATTTCTGAAAAATGATGTATTGAAGTCAATGGGGAGAGAAAGATTATCTTTCGATCCCGTTTGAGTTGTGCAACGAATTACACATATGATGTTTGTCAATCTTAAAAAATAATTTCCATGTAAAAAAAGTCACAGTTTGTCGTAAAACTGTTGAAATATAAGACTATGAAAAATGCGCAACTAGAAAGACTACAAATCCCAGAATCCCGGTCCTGCATGCTGGCTCTTACGGAACCGACTAACTCCCCTTGTGTGTATGTAGTAGGCTATGTACAGCTCTCAACATGCCCAGACTTGTAGTGATTTTCACCTCTTTAAATACTTTTCGCCTCATTCTGAAAGAAATAATTGAAATGTGCCAACGTGACGGCCATCTTGGTGTGTGGTGCGAGACGGGAGATGAAGGTCATTGAGCGGTTTCACACAAAAAAAGTGTTACTTCACAGTTTTACGACACCTTTTTATTTGTTTGACTTGCAAAATTATCTTTTAAATTGACAAACATCATATGTGTAATTCGTGGCACAATTCAAACGGGATCGAAAGATAATCTTTCTCTCTCCATTGACTTCAATACATAATTTTTCCGAAATAAGGTCCCATGGAGGTCCCCCGAAAAGGGAGGGACTTTGCCTCTCTATTACAAAAAATATGGCTGCCAAAGTGTGTTGGAATTTTACTGGACTGACAGACCCTATGAATGCTGCTAAGAATGTATAATATGACTTATAAGTGTATCATAAATGTAATGTCCTTACCTGTCCTGGAGGTGTCCCTGTAGTAAGGTCTCCTCTGAAGGCTCAGGTTACAGGATAGGGTTGCAGGCCTTACAGGCTTCACAATGAAGCCAGCCCCTACTGCGTTGTCACAGTGACCAGTGAACCTATCCATCAAGGTGTGTATCAATTTTCCAGCTGCTCTGGAGAAGAGACAAGAAGCATATAGTTGGGACAGCAGAAGAAAAGGGTGCATCACTGTTATGACTGGAGAAACATCCATTTATAGCGTCTGATCTTAACAAGAATTGAGGTGAGTTAGCACCTTTCATCGCACTTTATATGATTCTTACAAGTGCAGTGTCAGTCCTCTACACTCCAAATCAAGTAGTAGTATCTTTGGACTTACTGTATTTCTAATTCCGACCAGGTGAGTCTTCATGGCGGAGGCAGCAGGCCCCAGAAGTAGCAGTAGAGGTGTGGGCAGTGGAGGGACTGAAGGAGTACGTGTCCCCCAGGATCCCTCTCTCAAAGCTGGGGTGGTGTTATCAGACGAGAGGGTGGACTTCGTACGGGAGCAGGCCTTCTGTGTGCTGCGAGTGAAGATCGATAAGTGGAACCGCTTCATCGGAGCAGAGGAAAACCAGAAGGTGATACTGGATTACCTGGACCACATCTGGACCAACAGACTGCTGCTGTACACCGGACCTGGAGGGACATTGCATGCAGGGGACGCACAGGTAAGAAAACACACATAAAATCAGTTTATGAGAAGATCAGGCACCTTTTTTTCAGTTCCCTATTCAGAAAGTTAATTTTGCACCTTGAGTAAATACTTATTGGTTTAGTTCATATATTGTTTTCTGTATGCACTGTAGGGGTATACTAGACATTCTGTATACAAATATCCCTGAGGTAAAGGTACTGTGCGTACATACAGGCTGATGATGGCACATTTCACTTGTATCTGTTGCATGGCAGGCACACAATTCAGTAAAATTAGATGAAACCTAAAATTCCTAATACCCTGAGAATTTTCATAAACACAGTCACGCACACACAACTGTATACAACTTTGACAAAACAATGAGCAGTCATGCAGTGATATACAGTAAATCATAACAACATGTGTAGTAGGGCTGCTCAATTAATCGTATTTTAATCGCAATTACGATTATGGCTTGCAACGATTACGAAAACAACGTAATCGAAATATAACGATTATTTTTTTATTATTATTATTAATTTTTCTTTTTTATAAATTTTTTGTATTGGTTTTTTAGTTGAGTTATACTTACAGTTCAAGGTAATCAACTGTTAAAAACATACTGTTCAAAAAAAATTCTCCAATAAATTGATGTTTTCAAAGTAAATGGATAATCATTTTTAATAATCGTGATAATTATTGACCCAAATAATCGAGATTATGATTTTGCCATAATCGAGCAGCCCTAATGTGTAGTGTTTTGGATTTAACCTCCATCTAAAATTCAAATGTTCTGAAATAAGTCACTACTTATTTCTAGTGCTTTCAATGCTGTTGAAAGCATTCCTACTGTTTTTGAATCTGTGAAGACATCTCCACCATGGAAGACCAAGCTACTGTGTGTGCTGAAGAAAGGCGTGAAGAGAATCTCACGCCAGCGATTCAGACATGAACTCCGGCTGGGGGAAGTGGCTGGATACCCCATGGAGCACCTTCCTGTTGTCATCTCTGAGGTGGGCTAGTGTGTGTCTGTGAGTGTCAAAGTGATATACTAATTCAGGTTGATGGGAGCAAAGATACTAAGAATACTTGAGGAATAGGACGAATGCTTGGTTGGTTTGCAAAGCTGTAAACAGTTTGTGTCCTCTTTAAAAAGCTTGTGTGCAGTGGTGTCAAGTCACTAAGTATATTTACTCCGTACTTAAGTACCATTTTGAGAGACTTGTACAAAAAAAAGTATTTCATTGAATATTTCAATTAATTGCTACTGTGTACTTCTACTCCACTAGAATTCAGAGGTAAATCATGTACTTTTACTCTACTATGCATATTTAATAGCTTTACTTACTTTTCAGATTTTGACTAATGATGTGAAATATAATCAATGCTTGATTAAGACTTTTAATTACACCTCGAGTCATATTCACTAGCTAATCTGCAGCATACAATGCAATTAAAACGAGCTGCACCTTTAACAGCTTTAATAACAAATGCATCAACCATTCCCAACCAAATCAAAACAAATCATATAAATATTCTGAAATGGACCACTATGCAATAAAGATTTATTTTCTTTTTGGTACTTTAGGTATATTTTGATGCTAATACTTTTGTACTTGTACTTGAGTAATATTTGAATGAAGGACTTTTACTTGTAACAGAGTATCCCTACACTCTGGTACTTCTAATTACTTCCTGTAAGGGAAACTTCTGCAGCAATGGAGAGTCAGGACTCAGAGACACGAGGAGAGTTGGAGCTTTGATGTCAAACAATGATATTTATTAATTATTACAAGGATACGGCCGGAGAATTCATATCACAAGTCACAGCAGCAAAAGGTTCTGACTGCACGGGTGGGTTGTCATGTCAATTCTGATCAGCCTATCTCTCGATAAACCTTTTAACTAGTTTACAGAGAGTTAATGAGCATATTGGGGGAGGCGTAAACATCTGTGGAGCTACAGGAGATGTCTCTCACATCTGTGGAGCTTAGAAAGCCAGTGTTCCCACAGTCGTAAACTTCCCTATCAGGCCATAACACTTGACACTAAGTGCTGGAGCACATTCCTTAAAGCTGGCGTCACGAACAGGATTTGTTATTAACGTCAACAGGCAATAAGGTTAAATATCTTAGGAGTAAGGAAGAAATATTCTCTAACAGGTACAATATCTGAGTCTTCCACCTCTGCTTGTGTGTACTGAATAGGTGCTGGTGTGTGTGCTGTCCAACGGTCTGAACCATGAGGACTGGCCGCGGGTGGTGTCCGATGACATCCACAGGCACCTGGAGAAGCTGAGGAACAGGGTGGTGACGCTGAGAGGGCGCGCGGAGGGGCGGACCCTGCTGCCCCTGCCGCTGAGCGTGGAGAGGGCCCGGCACGAGGACATGGAGCTCAGGTCGGTGTGTGCGGGCCAGGCTAATAGATTAGCTAAGTGTGTATATGTTACTGCATAATCTATGACGCTGTTTCGTTTTGTCAATGAGAGTGTATTATGTTCGTTAAGTTAAATTGTTTTGCGTAACACAGGCCATTTGACAACACTCACCGCGTTTCCAAGATTAGTTAAATGCTCCTTTTGCATCTCAACCACATCCATGCGTTCAACTCTGTTCAACAAGCACCCGGATGTGACACACTTCCTGCTTGTCTTGCATGCCAGTAACACAATACAATTATTATTTTTTAAACGTACATAGAGCTTATTGTTTTTTTATATTTATAAGTTTCAAGACATTTTTACAACAAGAAAAACTGTCATGATAAGCAAAAAGAAAACTGAGAACTGTTTCCAGGTGGGTTCCCAGTTAACTCACTTACTGGGCGTCAACCTCTCGCTCCCCGCTGTCTTTTTCCGGTTGTACAAAAAAAATCTGTAATTTCCAGGTGCCATCTTTGTTTACTTTTGATAGTTACCAATATACACGTATGGAGTCCATTGAGAGTACTATCCAATGGAACAGAGAGATGTAATTGAATAAGGATTATCTTCAAAACACTGTAAGTGTTGGATTGTGGACCTGGTTTGAAAACTGAAACTGCTCTACACAGACGGTGATGTCAAAGATGAGAGCAGAATTAGGCAAACTACGAGAGGAGGGTAAATGAGTAATGTCAAAATTGTGTTGCATGTTAAGAGATGAGACAATGTGAGAGCATTGATATGACAGATCTCAATTGTTGAACTTAAATAGTTTTTGTTTTAAATCTGTTTGTTTTGTCCTTTATAACTGTTTTTGATTTGCATATAAACTGGCTATTGTACTTAATTTGTACTAGTGTGTGGCAGTTGTCCTTCTCTGCCTGTATGGTTTCTGTTTATTCTTGTAACCATCATACAACAATGAGACTATCATCTGGTTGAATAAAGGATTTGTATCCTAGCATTAGCTCGCATAATGTCATCAGGGTGAGAACAATTTTAAAATTCACACATTTCTCATGTAGCTTTTTTGGAAGTAACATATAAACTTGTGAAGAGGCACTCATTAGGCTATTTCTACTGGTTTTTGCATTACATAAACCCCCTCAGTCCCCTCATTACATGCAGAGAGAGAATGCAGAGAGAATGGCAAAGGGGGTGTTTGGCTGAATATGTTTGGTCTGTATAAATCATTGATGCTTTATCTGACTGAGGTTTGTGCAAGTTCGAATCTAGAGCCCTGCAAATTGATAAATCCATGGCGCTGTCCGTGGTGCTGAATTAGCACTCTTTCAACTGGACTTGCGACCTTCTGTGAGTTTTGTGTACTGCTACTATTTGTAGGTCATAAATGAGTAAGTTGCTGATTCACAAACAAGTAGTTCCAGTAAACCCTGTTTGTGTCAAAATTACAAAAAAACACCTAAAAAGACTATGATTCCATTTACATGTTACTGGAACTATATGTTAGTCCCATTTGTAGTTTACTTTCTTTACTTTTTCTTATCTGGAGCCCATATTGCCATATTTACCCACACCCCTCTCTGTCTCCCTCAGCCCCACTGGTTGGCCATTGGACCGTGGCTTGTTATACTCCATAGAAACTCTGATAGTTCAGTGGTCTGGACAGATATGGACCGTCCTGAAGAAAGACTCTGGTATGCTGCTGCTCCGAGGAGACCACCCAGGCCCCAACGTGGAGCTCCAGTTTTGGACCACTCAAAGGGAAAACCTGCTGGGCATCCAGTCACAAGTATGACACTGTTTCTGTGGAAGTGGGTGGGGGGGCAGTCAGTTCAACTTGTTATCTGTAGCTACTGTACGGTCCTTAGGGCACCAGTAGATTTGTGTTTAATTCATAGACTGAGATATTAGATTCCTAAATACCAGATGTTCCACAGTTTGAAATGCCAGATCTATTAAATGTCAGCAGGGTTGAATTGATTTGCGTGACATAGCAATAACTCCACTAATGATTCCAGTTAAAAATTAATACGTTATTTACAAAGTCCCAGTATGTCACAGTTTGAACTCTATAGAAGTAGCATTTATGGAAGAGGTGTTGTATTGAAATTAAATACATTGTACAGGTGTATCAAATAAAGTTGCCACTGAGTGAACACCCTGCTACCATTTCCCCATGTTCAGATCCAGAGTCCTAAAACAGAGCACATCATGGAGATCCTTAGAAGAGTCAATAGCAGTTACTACTCCTCCTTCAACGAGATCTGCATTAAAGTCGATGAGGGTAAATCAGCAATACTCATCCTTTATCAGTGCTAAATAATTTACTCACATCCCAACCTCTCCTTACGTTTTGATGTAAGAAACAAATTAGAAGAAATATTTTTAACTTGCCTTCTTCTAGGTTGAAGTTATCAATCACTATTTCTGTGTGTGATTTTCCTAGCGGTGCTGGAGGCAGAGGACATAGATCTGTATCTGCGTCCTCTGAGGAGACTGATCGGCAGCTTGGAGGAGAGGAGTATCCCACAGGTAGACGCTCTACTGCCTCCTCTTTTCCACACACTCTGTCTCATCTGGAGCCATTCTCAATTCTACTGCACTCCACAACGAATGGTGGTCCTCCTGCAGGAGTTCTGCAACCTGATCATCGAAAAGGTACAATGATGCATCTCTATGTGTATGTGTGGGAGAGAGGGGGACATGATATCAATGAGATTCTTAATATGGTTGTGTGTCTGAATCCAGGCCATTGCCTACCTTATCCCTGAAGAGCTGTTTAAGATGGAGTTGGAGGAAGGGGTGGAGAGAGTCCAGATAACCATCTTAGTTCTGCGCACCTTCAAGAAGTTGTTTCACACTCACCGCCAGCGCATCCCCCAGTACTACAGACACAGCCAGTTCGTCAAGCTGTGGGTCTTTCCGGCTGCGCTTGTGTTTCAGCGGTCGGACCGCATCATGGAGAGGCTGCTTATGATCGAGGTGCACGTCTTAGTTTGTGTTGGTTTCATTGGAACAGTTAAACATGTGCACATCAGGCTATTATTTCTAATAATATGACCATGACCTCTAGAGCAGTGGTTCCCAACCTGGGGGGCGAGCCCCCCTTGGGGGTGCGCCAAAGATCACAGGGGGTGCGCCAGGCCTCAGATGATTTGAGGCCAAATATCATATTTAGACTTTTTTTAGTTAAAAAAAAAAATGGTTTACATATAATTGTAACGCAATACACGATTGTCGCTAAAAGCCTTGTCTCTACATTACAATAACATAATTGATTATTTAATTTTAATAAAAAATCAAGTTAGTAGCTAATAAAGGCATAAAAAGACAGACATGTATAATTCTTTCTATAGAAATGTTTCTTCTGCCCGTAAAGTGTCCAAACCAGGATTTTCTGGATAAGCGCATTTTTAAAACATAGTCATTGTCCATGCCGGTTTCAGTTGGATTATTTGTCACAGTTGCTCCGATCAGATCTGTCTCCTCCATTTTGTAGATTATTTATGACTTTTGAATCCACATAAACACATCGGCAAAATCCGGCTTACTTTGAGCATGTGTTTTAAACAGTTTAATCCCTTTGTGAATTGTTTCCACTTGCGCCGTCCTTTCATTTCTTCATACAGCGGGAATCCAAATGAATTAATCCTGAGTCCAATAACCATCAAAGTCACTCCAATAGTGCTCCTTAATTACGCTTTCATCCTCCTTTAACAAAATACTTCACATTCATCCAGTTTGTGACAGTAGTTGTAGCATTTTTGAGACTTTGAAACTTTAATTACCCAACTTCCAACAGGAGCCCCCCCGGCTCTTGGGAAAAAAGGTTGGGAACCCCTGCTCTAGAAGACACCACTCTGCTTAACTGCTATAGATAATATTTCGATGTATTTGTGTACCCTACAGAGAGTTTTTTTCTAATCATGATATATATTTTCTTTGTAGGAACTTTTTGCAACAGCGCTGGACTTTCTGAAACTGGAGAAGGTTGAACTGGGTGGATCCAGAGGGAAAGTCCTGAGCGAGATGGTCTTCAGCATGAGCGAGGAGTTTCATGACCGCTGGAGGGCCCTCAGAGAGAGCAAATACGACCCCCTGGACTATAGTAATGATGTGAGGCTCAGTGAAATTGTTTGTTAGACTTGTCTTTGATATCACACTGCTATGTAAATCAATAAGCCCCAAAGGCCTGTGAATCACAGCAATTTATAAGTGGCACTGACAGGCACAGCCGAATAATGAAAAATAAAAATTAGATGTTATTTTTCAGCCCAGCAGTACACTAATTGAAAAATAACAAAGCAAAGTGGTTGCCAAGCAACACGCCGAAAATCTGTGACAGCCGTCATTATTAGTCAGTGAATTATTTTATTTAATCTACTGGATATTTGACAGCTATTGTATACAAGCTTCCAATATAACTGAGCCAATTAAATGTGGAACTGAATCAGAAATTGATCTCTGTTCTGAAATATGTTTTAATGCACTGAAGATAAAGTTCAATAGGTGGACTCAAAGCTGTTAAATGAGGAATAGGTTTGAACATATCCAGTGTTTCCTGTCTAATGCCATCTTGTGTCCAGGACTTTGTGCATCACTACAGACGCTTCATGGAGCAGAACAGGGACTTTGACCAGAGGCTTGGAACTGTCCTTAAGCTGGCCTTCCAGCACTCCAAAAACCTGACGTCAATCTTTAAGGTAATGTGTCTGTGAAATCTCACTCATCAAAAAAGCCCATTACTGTATTTATATATCTCTAAGTCATTTGTCGACAAGGTGTTGATATGTTGCATCTTTTTAGGATCTGTGTTGTTAGATGTTAGAAAACTGTTGTCCTTTTAATCAGCTGAAAAGCGTATATTTATACATTGGAATTTAAACTTGATTGTGGCTTAGACTAACAGCCAGGCATGGTCCAATGGTCATTCTACCTAAAGTTTTCTAAAAATGTCTTGTTGTTTTTGTTGTGTGCAATCTAGTTGTTGAAGATTTTCAGCACCCTGCTTGAGAGGCCCATGATCCACCAGCTGTTCTCTCCCAACTACAATGTGTTGTTGGATATGTTTCACCAGGAAGTAGACTACTGCCAGTGTATACTGGATAAACACAGAGATGGGGTAAGAGAGATTAAAAGGAAATAAATATTCTCAAAGATTTAGAAATTCGAAGAATGGCACACCTACTTTTGAATATACAAAAATACAGCCATAGGATCTGATTACAGCATCACTAAACTATACCG